TGCGGAGGAGAGGAAGGACGACGGACTACAAGGTGGGTGCCGGGGACAGCTGGCTGACACGAACGAGGAACACGACGACCGGAACGACCAGAACGGACTGGCGAGACAGGACGCGACGCAGGCTCACGACGCTCAGTAAGACCCCCTGTCTGCTCAGTGTAAGGAGAAGGAGCAGGCAGCGGTGAGCCAGGCTGTAACGGAAGACCAGTAGACGAAGGGAGACTAAGAACCTGGCGAAGCACAGAGTCAGACGGTGGCTGAGACGACGGAGACGGTGGAGCAAAGAACAGGCGCGGCTGTGCAGTGCCACCAGCACCAGCAGCTCCAGCACCCCTAGCAGCTCCAGCACCTCCAGCAGCTCCAGAACCCTCAGCTCCAGCTCCTCCAGGACCAGCTCCACCAGCAGCAGCACCCCCAGAACCGGCACCTCCAGTCCCAGGGTCTCCAGCCTCAGTGTTTCCAGCAGCAGCGCCTACAGGCTCAGCACCTCCAGCCCAAGCAGCTCCAGTACCTCCAGTACGAGCACCTCCGGGACCAGCACCACTCCCAGCTCCAGTGACGTCAGCAGAAGTACCTCCAGCGGCAGAGCCCCGAGCTCCAGAAGCGCGACCCTGACGGCGACCGTACCAGTCGTGCAGCTGCTGTGAGGTGAGAGGCACACGCAGACGAAGGCGGCTACTCCAAGGAGACCGCGCAACAGCAGACTCAGAACCCTCAATGCCAGCACCCGCAGCATCTCCAGAACCTCCAGCGCCAGCACCCTCAGCAGCTCTAGAACCTCTAGCTCCAGCACCCTCAGCAGCTCCAGAACCTCCAGCAGAAACAACTCCAGTAGCAGAGTCACCAGCTCCAGCGCCTCCCGCAGCAGGACCCCTAGCTCCAGCAGTGCGACCCTGACGGCCAACGTACCACTCACGCAGCTACTGTGGGGAGAGAGGGAGTCGACGACGAGAGTGCAGCGGCGAGGTACCAGCGGAGCGACTACGGAGACGGCCGCTCCAGGGAGACTGCTCACCAGACACCTCAGCGCCCCCAGGTGCAGCACCCCCAGACCCAGCACCCCTAGACTCCTCACGCCCAGGTTCAGCACCTCAAGTCTCCGCACCCCCAGGCTCAGCACCCCCAGGCTCCGCACCCCCAGGCTCAGCACCCCCAGAAGCAGCACCCCAAGCAGGACCACCCTCAGCAGGACCTGAGTCACCAGTGACCTCAACCGGCGCAGTCAAGGGAGGAGGGTCTACCTGAGACACACTTGAAGGAGCAGGACCGGGAGCGGGGAGGGGGTCTACCTGGGGAGCACCTGGAGCGAGGAAGAGCGGCGGGGGGGGGAGAGGGGCAGTGCGGTAGGGGAAGAGACGGTAAAAGGGAACCGACTCGTCGAACGTGACGTCCTGAGAGGGGAACACACGGCGCGAGGTGGGGTGGTAAAACTGTCAACCAGGCGCGTCAGGGATAAAGCCAAGGAAGACACAGGGAACAGCGCGGGCGGAGAGCTTGTCCGCGGTGGTATCGCGGACAAAGGCACGAGCACCCCAGACCCGGAAACGCGACGCATCGCCAACCTTCCCCGTCCACAGCAGTGTGGGCGAGGTCTCCGGCAAGGAGACACGGGGCCAGAGGTTGAGCTAATGCGCGGCGTACCGGACCGCAAACGGCCACAGAAAATGGGGGGCAGCCGCATGGATCATGGAGGTACGAGCGACCTCCATGACTAAGCCAATGCGACGCTCAACAACCCCATTCTGCTGCGGAGAGGCCGGAAGCGTGAATGTCTGGCGGATGCCGTGCTCCGCACAGAAGGCTGCCAAGAGGTCGGAGGAAAACTCCCCACCTCTGTCAGAGTGCAGGCACAGGACGGGAAACTCCGTCCCGAACCGCTCGCGGAGCTGGAGACGAGCAGCGCGGATCCAAGGGATCAAAACATCAGGGACCTCTTCCTTGGTGCGCAAGGGGAAGACCGTGGTGTAACGCGTGTAGTCGTCGACGACCAGCAGGAAGTACCGCTCGTGGCCCTGTCCACGGACGCGGGCTGGGCCCCACACGTCCAGGTGGAGAGTCTGCAGGGGAGCCTCTGTGGGAGGGAACGAGGAGGAGTGAGGAGCGGCGCGCTGCCGCCCCTCGACACAGGGAAGACAGGGAGGAGCAGGCGAGGGTGGGAGGGGAGGGAGAACCCTGGGAAGACCAGAGACAAGGACACGGCGGTGCATGCTACGAAGGCGCTGCACCGAGGGGTGACCAAGGCGGTGGTGCCAAAGGAGGGTCTGGTGCGACAAAGCGCGACACGAGCAGGGGGCCGCTAGCTGACCTGATGCAGACGCAGACGCAGCGACCTGAGGGGACACAGTAGTCAGTGTGTACAAACTCGAGCCAGGCGCACGGGTAAACGTGGCCAGGTGCCGGCCCGTCCGGGAGCACGTACAGTGGGTCACGCACTGACCTCCAGGAGTGAACTGGTCAACCCACTGGTCTTGGAGGTCAGCACCACTCACCAAGTTCGTAGAGAATGAGGGGAGGTGAAGACCTGACACGGAGCCAGACGGGACCGCCGGACACGGCAGGACCATGGAGGAGTGCGCAACGACTGGAACCCCAGAGGGGTCTGCCAGGGAGACTGGAACCGGCCGGCTGAGCGGCGTGAGGGTGGTGCTGTCGCGAAAGAAGGAGCGGGAAGCACCTGAGTCAAGTGTGAAGGTGTACAAGGCCGCAGCAGGCGCAGTACCAGAGGGAGCAGACTCACCAGCACCTGGAGCAGCAGCCTCACCAGCACCCAGAGCAGGAGACGCACTAGCACCTAGAGCAGCAGCCTCACTAGCACCGAGAGCAGCAGGCTCTATACCTGGGTCAGGCGGTACGCACAGGTAACAGGCACGGTCAGCACTAGTAGGCAATGCATACATGGCAGTGAGAATAGCATCATAGTCAAGAGCATAGATATCTACCCTCTGCCCAAGCAGCTCCACCCAGTTGGGGAGCTCAGCCTCGTCGCCAAACTCGGTACGCCAGGCGTCGCTCAGACGGGCGAAGCAGCGGGACTGGGTGTGACTAAGCGTCCCGCAAGTCTGACCCGTCCGATCACCTGTGCGAATGACGTACGGGCAGCGAACGGTACTCAAAGACCCTCTACTCTGAGCGTACCACTCGTGAAGCTGCTGAGGCGTAAGTGTCTCGCGTGGACGCCGCTGCAGCTGCAGCTGGCCACTGCCAGACGCTCCCAACTGACCAGCTCCAGGGCGACAACTACGACGGCTACCACCACAACCCCAACTAGCGTACCACTCACGAAGCTGCTGGGGCGTGAGAGACTCGCGCGGACGTCGCTGGAGCTGCATCTGGCCACCGCCAGTAGCAGCAGTAGCAGTAGCAGTAGCCTAGCAGTAGTAACAGAAGTAGCAGCAGTAGCAGCGCGAGCAGGGCAGGCGCGGCAGGCAGGCAGGTAGGCAGGCAGGCAGGCAGACAGGCAGGCAGGCAGGCAGGCTGGCAGGCAGGCAGGCAGGCAGATGGCGCGGTAGCGCGCTAACAAGTCAGGTGCTCACCAGTGGCGGGAAGAGCAGGCGCTCGCCGGGCGAGCAGGGCCGGCGCTCGGCGGGCGGCTGCACGGGATCCAGGGGCGGCGTCTCGGGTCCAGGGGCGGCGTCGCGGGATCCAGGGGCGGCTGCACGGAGTCCAGGGGCGGCTGCACCAGGGGCGGCTGCTTCAGGGGCCAGGGGCGGCTGCTCTGGGTCCAGGGGCGGCTGCTCGAGGGTCCAGGGGCGGCTGCACCAGGGGCGGCGTAGCTGGTGCAGGGCCGCGCGCGGGTCCCACAGGCGCCGCGACTGGCGACGGGGGGCAGGAGAAGGCAGTGCGGGGGCTGCGGGGCGGTGCGCGGGCCTGACAAGGCAGCTAGCGGGCTACGCGCTGGGCTGACGAGGCAGCAGGCGGGCTGCTAGCGGGCTGTACGAGGGCCAGCAGAGGCGAGCGCGAGGGCTGCGCGACGCAGGGCAGTGTAGGCAAGGGGCGGGGTAACTCGGTAACCGGCGGAAAACGGTTGGTGGGCCCTGAAAAACAGTCCTAAAACGGTCCTAGGGACCTATGTTGCTCTTAATACCATGTCGAGAGTAAAGGGAAAAGGTGGATTGCACTATCGAGAAAGTTGGGTACAAGTAACAAAAAACTATACCCTACATTAGCTACCCCACTAAAGCCTACATTCTATTATGACATAGGCATATAATTTGACACCCTCATCCTTTTAAAAGCGCCGGCGCTTATCCGAGGCCTGCGCTTCTATCCGGGGGCTTACGGTACATGCTTTCTTCAAGAAAAGACTCGATCACATTAAGAAATGTTCCAATCATTACTTTTTTCAAGTTCCTAGAGTTTTTATACGGTATTGTTTGTCATTGGGAGTCAGACTGTCAAACTGCCCTTCTGGAGCTGTGACAGCTAGACAGTCTCACGGGTACACCTCTTCCCTGAGGGTGAGATTGCCCTGTTGCTACTCTTGGGGGAGGGATGAGGTGTACTGGCTGGGGGGGGCGGTACGTGCCGTTGAGTATGAGCTGTGAGGGGCCATACGCCCTCACCACAATCCTACCCCAGCAGAACAACATGATGATACCTCTGATACACTAGAATGCAGTCTCATGCCAAACTACCGGTTTTTAACGATTAGAAAGATCATCGGATAACACTCCGTGCACTAAGAAACAGGGTTTATGAGAGTGAAACTGCCCTCTTGCTGCGCTGCTGGAGCTGTGAGAGTGACGCTGCTTTGCTGCTGCTTCCTTGACACGAGGGGCCGGGAGGGAAGAGCTGCACTGGCTGTGGGCGGTACATGTCGTTGAGAATGAGCTGTTCCCTTCTGTGCCATACGCCCTCCCCACCACCACCACCACCCCACCCCCACCCCCACCCCCCCATAACAGCACAATGAAATCTCTGCTGCACAAGTAAATATTCTCACACCAAGCTGTCGTTTTTAAAGCATTGGAAGAATCGTCATATCAGCAGCACCTTATGCTCTAAGTAACAGGGTTTATGAGAGTGCGATTGCCTTCCTGCTGCCCTGCTGGCGCTGGGAGTGTGGCATTTCCCTCCTGTCGTCCTTCTGGGGTTGTGAGAGTGACACTGCCCTGTTGCTCCCCTTGGCACGTGGGGCCGGGAGGGAAGAGCTGCACTGGCTGCGGGCGGTACGTGCCGTTGAGAATGAGCTGTGAGGGGCCGTACGCTCGCAGCACCACTGCACTCCTTGTCTGTGGGAGAACGGAGACCATGAAGGGGAAAGGAGTAGGGAGAATGGAAATGGAGAGAGAAGGGAAGACATGGAACAAACAGGGAGATAGAGGGCAGAAGGGTATGCTTGTCTCACCTTTAAAAATGCTACAAGGAACGAAAGGCAGAGAATAAACAGGGATATGGAGAGAGGGAGGGAGAGCCGCACTAAGGAGACACAGGGTGCGAGTGTAGCAGTACCGAGTTGACAGTAGGAATCCAGTTGACTTCGAGCGATTCGCCGGGCGAAGTGGGTTGAATGTAGATGGTGAGAGTGCCATCAGGGTTGTACTGCGGAGAGGGGGGCAGCATAGGTGTGGTTTCACTGAGGTTTGGGAAGGAGACAAGGCAGTGGGTTCATTGAGACAGACCCAAAGCAGAATGAAGACGGTGAGAGTGGCGCACAGGTGTGGTTGCACAGGGGTGTGTTGGGGAAAGGAGGCGGGGGAACTGGTTGATTGAGACAGACTCAAAGCAGAATGTAGATGGTGAGAGTGGCGTACGGGTTGTACTGCAGTGAGGCAGCAAACGGGGCAGATGCAAAAGCACCAGGTTAACAGTTGGCACCAAAGTGATTGCGGGGACGAAGTGGGTTGAAGATATGGCGGGAGTGACTTTTGAGGCGCCTCAAAAGTCACCAAAGTGATTGGGGGGACGAACTGGGTTGAACATATGGCGGGAGTGACTTTTGAGGCGCCTCAAAAGTCACCAAAGTGATTGGGGGGACGAAGTGGGTTGAACATATGGCGGGAGTGCCATCAGGGTTGTACTGACAGCGAGGTGCTGAACCTCAGCGGGAGGAGTTGACTGGGGGGAGGGATGGGGGGGAGGAAAACAGAGACTCACCAGCAGGCCAGGAGTCCTATCACCCACGCTGTACTTAGTCACTCCTTCCAGGAGGCTCAGAGAGGTGCTGTTGTAGACTGTGACCGACCAGAAGGAGTCAAGAGGAGGAGTAGGGGGGATGGGGAGAAGCAAGATACTCACCAGCAGTCCAGGAGTCCTATCTCCCATGCCGTATTTAGTCACTCCTTCCAGGAGGCTCAGAGAGGTGCTGTTGTAGACTGTGACCGACCAGAAGGAGTCAAGAGGAGGAGTAGGGGGGATGGGGAGAAGCAAGATACTCACCAGCAGTCCAGGAGTCCTATCTCCCATGCCGTATTTAGTCACTCCTTCCAGGAGGCTCAGAGAGGTGCTGTTGTAGACTGTGACCGACCAGAAGGAGTCAAGAGGAGGAGTAGGGGGGATGGGGAGAAGCAAGATACTCACCAGCAGTCCAGGAGTCCTATCTCCCATGCCGTATTTAGTCACTCCTTCCAGGAGGCTCAGAGAGGTGCTGTTGTAGACTGTGACCGACCAGAAGGAGTCAAGAGGAGGAGTAGGGGGGATGGGGAGAAGCAAGATACTCACCAGCAGTCCAGGAGTCCTATCTCCCATGCCGTATTTAGTCACTCCTTCCAGGAGGCTCAGAGAGGTGCTGTTGTAGACTGTGACCGACCAGAAGGAGTCAAGAGGAGGAGTAGGGGGGATGGGGAGAAGCAAGATACTCACCAGCAGTCCAGGAGTCCTATCTCCCATGCCGTATTTAGTCACTCCTTCCAGGAGGCTCAGAGAGGTGCTGTTGTAGACTGTGACAGACCAGAAGGAGTCAAGAGGAGGAGTAGGGGGGATGGGGAGAAGCAAGATACTCACCAGCAGTCCAGGAGTCCTATCTCCCATGCCGTATTTAGTCACTCCTTCCAGGAGGCTCAGAGAGGTGCTGTTGTAGACTGTGACCGACCAGAAGGAGTCAAGAGGAGGAGTAGGGGGGATGGGGAGAAGCAAGATACTCACCAGCAGTCCAGGAGTCCTATCTCCCATGCCGTATTTAGTCACTCCTTCCAGGAGGCTCAGAGAGGTGCTGTTGTAGACTGTGACCGACCAGAAGGAGTCAAGACGAGGAGTAGGGGGGATGGGGAGAAGCAAGATACTCACCAGCAGTCCAGGAGTCCTATCTCCCATGCCGTATTTAGTCACTCCTTCCAGGAGGCTCAGAGAGGTGCTGTTGTAGACTGTGACCGACCAGAAGGAGTCAAGAGGAGGAGTAGGGGGGATGGGGAGAAGCAAGATACTCACCAGCAGTCCATGAGTCCTATCTCCCATGCCGTATTTAGTCACTCCTTCCAGGAGGCTCAGAGAGGTGCTGTTGTAGACTGTGACCGACCAGAAGGAGTCAAGAGGAGGAGTAGGGGGGATGGGGAGAAGCAAGATACTCACCAGCAGTCCAGGAGTCCTATCTCCCATGCCGTATTTAGTCACTCCTTCCAGGAGGCTCAGAGAGGTGCTGTTGTAGACTGTGACCGACCAGAAGGAGTCAAGAGGAGGAGTAGGGGGGATGGGGAGAAGCAAGATACTCACCAGCAGTCCAGGAGTCCTATCTCCCATGCCGTATTTAGTCACTCCTTCCAGGAGGCTCAGAGAGGTGCTGTTGTAGACTGTGACCGACCAGAAGGAGTCAAGAGGAGGAGTAGGGGGGATGGGGAGAAGCAAGATACTCACCAGCAGTCCAGGAGTCCTATCTCCCATGCCGTATTTAGTCACTCCTTCCAGGAGGCTCAGAGAGGTGCTGTTGTAGACTGTGACCGACCAGAAGGAGTCAAGAGGAGGAGTAGGGGGGATGGGGAGAAGCAAGATACTCACCAGCAGTCCAGGAGTCCTATCTCCCATGCCGTATTTAGTCACTCCTTCCAGGAGGCTCAGAGAGGTGCTGTTGTAGACTGTGACCGACCAGAAGGAGTCAAGAGGAGGAGTAGGGGGGATGGGGAGAAGCAAGATACTCACCAGCAGTCCAGGAGTCCTATCTCCCATGCCGTATTTAGTCACTCCTTCCAGGAGGCTCAGAGAGGTGCTGTTGTAGACTGTGACCGACCAGAAGGAGTCAAGAGGAGGAGTAGGGGGGATGGGGAGAAGCAAGATACTCACCAGCAGTCCAGGAGTTCTATCTCCCATGCCGTATTTAGTCACTCCTTCCAGGAGGCTCAGAGAGGTGCTGTTGTAGACTGTGACCGACCAGAAGGAGTCAAGAGGAGGAGTAGGGGGGATGGGGAGAAGCAAGATACTCACCAGCAGTCCAGGAGTCCTATCTCCCATGCCGTATTTAGTCACTCCTTCCAGGAGGCTCAGAGAGGTGCTGTTGTAGACTGTGACCGACCAGAAGGAGTCAAGAGGAGGAGTAGGGGGGATGGGGAGAAGCAAGATACTCACCAGCAGTCCAGGAGTCCTATCTCCCATGCCGTATTTAGTCACTCCTTCCAGGAGGCTCAGAGAGGTGCTGTTGTAGACTGTGACCGACCAGAAGGAGTCAAGAGGAGGAGTAGGGGGGATGGGGAGAAGCAAGATACTCACCAGCAGTCCAGGAGTCCTATCTCCCATGCCGTATTTAGTCACTCCTTCCAGGAGGCTCAGAGAGGTGCTGTTGTAGACTGTGACCGACCAGAAGGAGTCAAGAGGAGGAGTAGGGGGGATGGGGAGAAGCAAGATACTCACCAGCAGTCCAGGAGTCCTATCTCCCATGCCGTATTTAGTCACTCCTTCCAGGAGGCTCAGAGAGGTGCTGTTGTAGACTGTGACCGACCAGAAGGAGTCAAGAGGAGGAGTAGGGGGGATGGGGAGAAGCAAGATACTCACCAGCAGTCCAGGAGTCCTATCTCCCATGCCGTATTTAGTCACTCCTTCCAGGAGGCTCAGAGAGGTGCTGTTGTAGACTGTGACCGACCAGAAGGAGTCAAGAGGAGGAGTAGGGGGGATGGGGAGAAGCAAGATACTCACCAGCAGTCCAGGAGTCCTATCTCCCATGCCGTATTTAGTCACTCCTTCCAGGAGGCTCAGAGAGGTGCTGTTGTAGACTGTGACCGACCAGAAGGAGTCAAGAGGAGGAGTAGAGGGGATGGGGAGAAGCAAGATACTCACCAGCAGTCCAGGAGTCCTATCTCCCATGCCGTATTTAGTCACTCCTTCCAGGAGGCTCAGAGAGGTGCTGTTGTAGACTGTGACCGACCAGAAGGAGTCAAGAGGAGGAGTAGGGGGGATGGGGAGAAGCAAGATACTCACCAGCAGTCCAGGAGTCCTATCTCCCATGCCGTATTTAGTCACTCCTTCCAGGAGGCTCAGAGAGGTGCTGTTGTAGACTGTGACCGACCAGAAGGAGTCAAGAGGAGGAGTAGGGGGGATGGGGAGAAGCAAGATACTCACCAGCAGTCCAGGAGTCCTATCTCCCATGCCGTATTTATTCACTCCTTCCAGGAGGCTCAGAGAGGTGCTGTTGTAGACTGTGACCGACCAGAAGGAGTCAAGAGGAGGAGTAGGGGGGATGGGGAGAAGCAAGATACTCACCAGCAGTCCAGGAGTCCTATCTCCCATGCCGTATTTAGTCACTCCTTCCAGGAGGCTCAGAGAGGTGCTGTTGTAGACTGTGACCGACCAGAAGGAGTCAAGAGGAGGAGTAGGGGGGATGGGGAGAAGCAAGATACTCACCAGCAGTCCAGGAGTCCTATCTCCCATGCCGTATTTAGTCACTCCTTCCAGGAGGCTCAGAGAGGTGCTGTTGTAGACTGTGACCGACCAGAAGGAGTCAAGAGGAGGAGTAGGGGGGATGGGGAGAAGCAAGATACTCACCAGCAGTCCAGGAGTCCTATCTCCCATGCCGTATTTAGTCACTCCTTCCAGGAGGCTCAGAGAGGTGCTGTTGTAGACTGTGACCGACCAGAAGGAGTCAAGAGGAGGAGTAGGGGGGATGGGGAGAAGCAAGATACTCACCAGCAGTCCAGGAGTCCTATCTCCCATGCCGTATTTAGTCACTCCTTCCAGGAGGCTCAGAGAGGTGCTGTTGTAGACTGTGACCGACCAGAAGGAGTCAAGAGGAGGAGTAGGGGGGATGGGGAGAAGCAAGATACTCACCAGCAGTCCAGGAGTCCTATCTCCCATGCCGTATTTAGTCACTCCTTCCAGGAGGCTCAGAGAGGTGCTGTTGTAGACTGTGACCGACCAGAAGGAGTCAAGAGGAGGAGTAGGGGGGATGGGGAGAAGCAAGATACTCACCAGCAGTCCAGGAGTCCTATCTCCCATGCCGTATTTAGTCACTCCTTCCAGGAGGCTCAGAGAGGTGCTGTTGTAGACTGTGACCGACCAGAAGGAGTCAAGAGGAGGAGTAGGGGGGATGGGGAGAAGCAAGATACTCACCAGCAGTCCAGGAGTCCTATCTCCCATGCCGTATTTAGTCACTCCTTCCAGGAGGCTCAGAGAGGTGCTGTTGT